TAATGAAGATTGTATCTATTTGCTAACAAATCATGAAATTCTCAGATGAAACTTTGATTTCGAAGAAAAAGTTGACAGGCCAGGCGGCCTGTCATTTTCAAGCGGCCTGCCTGGCCTGTCTTAGGAGTCAGCCTAGCCTGCCTGTGACAGGTGCAGACCTCAAAATGGTGACCTGTGCCTGTCACAGGCCGGCAGGCCTCGTGGCCTGTTTTGACCTCTGATTCGAATGTATCTGAGAATCCAACTATAGGGTTTTTTACAGGAAACTTTCCTCTACAAAACCTATCTTGTTACGTTTCTCAAGAATATAGTTATTTTGAGATATACGAATCGACTTTTCACGCTTATTTACCACAAAAAAAATCACATTTTAAGCTATTTTACCGTGTTTAATATCTTGACAGTAACATCATCGTTTCTCAATGAAATAGTAAAAGCTTTTTTACCTAAATATGATCAACAAAAAAAAAAGCTCTACAAACTCTGATATGAAAAAAAATTTTCTGGATAGTTTGTATTTTTTTTGGGTTGACTACCTCTGGACCTACCCCATAGTATGTCTGTCTGCCTCAGGCTTCGTCAATAGAAAGGCGCTTTTTGAGTCCTCCTAGACACACATCACTTCCAAAAATTGAACGTCCTTTTTTTATTGAAAATTCAGTTGGAAATGAAAAACAGCATAGACTCAAAAAGACGCGGGCTAATGACCTCTGCGGAAAGGCTTCGATGCCTTGAAACTTTTGTAAGATTGTCGTGGCAAAAATTATACGGATGTTTGGAGCTTTGAAAGCTGGAATTCTGTTGAGAAATTGATGTTCATCGTAGGTATATATGTGTAGGTGCTAGTCTGTGTATTTTCTTTGCTTTCATTTATTGAGACCTCAATATACATCTCACCTATATCAATTCTTTAGATTTGCAAGACCCGCCCTCCATAAAAATACGAAGTATTTAAGATATGGATCGTCATCTAAGTGTAAAGACCTACAAGACTCCCATTTCAAAATGACTTTGAGGGTCCTTTGTTTTGTTTTAAATTCAGATTGAAATCATATAGACTGTTACATGATTATGATATGTAGACCAATAATCCTTTTTTGTATGTTGATTTCAAATGTAACCATATGATGTATAACAACTTGTATACGTATGTAGAGAAAACGAGTGTGGCTTTGACGAGAAGCACGAAGATAATAATGAAATGGTTTTTATTCATATTTTTGTTAAAACTTTTTTCAAAATACTTGAATTGTTTACTTCTTACTGTAGATAATCACAACTTGTTTTCTACTATTCTACAGTTACAAATATGAATTCCATTTTGATTTATATTGCTGCATAATTCTTTGCGAACATCTTCTGATTATTTAAAAGTGCATAGTTATCGTTATTGCATATAATTAGAACCAGGCTCTTCAATTAAGTAGGAAGGTGGTAAAGAAAGTCTCTTCCGAAAAGTATTGAACTCGTTGAGAAATTTCAAACATTTTCTGCAGATTTGTTTTTAGTCCCACATAAATTTCTGACAGACATAAGGTTTTTGTGATTGTAGCTCTGCTTCTAACAGATATTCGTATGTGAACACTTTCAGCTAGACAGAATATCTCAGAAGATCAATGATTTTAGCATCCCGCTGTTCAGTCATTACCAGAAAGACGAACGAAGGTACTTTGTCCTAAAATTATTCGTTGAATTATTATAGTTGATATTGTCTTATACAAAATTTCCTATTTATGTTGTGAAAGAAAACGGCAAAAGATACACTGACAGATTTGATACTCACAAGTATCCCTTATGCAATGTAAAGGGAAAAAAGTCCTAATTGAAAACAAATCAAACAATCAATCTTTAAGTATGAAATTGTGGCAATGTACTTGAAATCTTAAATGTTCTCTAGATCGTAGAAAAATCAAAAATATTTTTATTGAAAATTGGTGATTTTCTTCTTATGAGTACAAAGGAAAAATTGAGTATATAATTATCGAAAAAATGTTTTTTATATTTGTTTCTCTTTTGCATACGATTGAGCCATATTATAGGATGCATAAAAATGTTTTCCGAGTGAAAGAACGCTGTAATTTAAAACAACATCAACGACAAACTTTTTACAAAATTAAAGCGCGTCAAAAATTGGATTCATCAAATATGCATATGCATAGTAGGGGCATGACGACTTTTTAATCTCAAATTCAGGACATTTCTAAAATATTAGCGTTATTATATAATGAAGATGAAATCGATATGAACATCAAATAATTTCAAGTAAGTGAATATTTGTTTCATGTTTGTCAAAACATATGACCTCTGTTTTTCTTTAGTTTCTTTATAAAAGAAAAACGCTTATATGATGTCTCTGATAGCTATGTTTTCAGCTTTATTTTTTATTATTGTTCCAATATTTCCATGCCACGTATTCGATACTTTGGGATATTCATTATTTTATCGGACGTCTACTTTGAATTACCACATGAAAGGAATTTTTCTTTGTTGCTATGGTGTATAATGAGAGAAGTTTCATGAATTCGACATTGAAAAGTTGTTATGGCCGTCACTATTTAGTACAAGTACATCCCACTTTTGACACGCTTGATTTTCGTATAAAATTTGTTGTTGATGTTAATTGAGGTGACAGCGTTCTCCTCCTAAAAAGACATTTCTATACACTCTGCACAATTCACTCATAAGTATGAACATAATAAACAATCAAGCTTTCTTTCAACAAACGCGTCATCTATATAATGAAATAGATCAATATATTTCCTAAATAAGGTATTCGACATTATTAAAACTATGTTAGGAATAATTAAATTATCGTAACAATCATAAGTCTTTAGATGATGTAAACATTTCCACCTAATGAATCATCCTTCATCATTGAAAACTTCAAAAATATAATAGAACAAAATAAACAATTCTGTTGCTGGAGAATACACAAGCAAATGCTATGCTATATTGACATCTGAATTGCCAATAGATGACGCTTTTTATTCTAAAATAATTTTCTTGAAAGTTTGAAAATAAATTTATTTTTATTTTTATTAAACAAATGTTAATAATTAATGAGTTTAAACCTTTTTATGTATTTCGCCAATCATATGCCTTGACAGTGACTCAACAAAAAAAAGAACCATTGATTTTTCAATGAGTCATGCTATTATTTTTTTTTGTATTTGCCTTTCTTCTTTCATTCATCTATAACTTGTCTTGCTCTTGCTTTGCCCACCCGCGCATTTTTTTCTCTTTCTTCCACCATTAAAATTGCTGCTTCACAAAATATACTTTTTTTTTCTGCTTTGCTCTATTATTCGTTTGATCAAAAAGGAGGCTTGCGTATCAAGGAAAAAATCTAAACCATACATTTTCCTTTGTATCTATATCTTTACCTGTGTAAGTAAGAATATTTTTCACTATTTAAATTCAATTTTCTGATATTTTCCTATTAAATAGTATTATGGATGATCACACAGCAAAAAATGAACAAGATGTTCATCAAGTTGAACCAAATTTATCATTTGTTGCACAAAATGAAACTGTTAGTACAACAACTAATATGTCACCACCACCGTCTCGGGCTGTTCCTAGTTCATCTCGACCTAGTACTTTACAACTTACTGGACAACGTATGGCTAATTCAATCTTATTAACACCGAATGATTATAACAAACTTTTATTAAGTACACCAGAATTAGATGAAAAATTACGGAATTATACTATTGTTTCAAATACAACACCAACTATTCAATTACAAACACCGGATTTACTTAATGCTATAGCAAATCAATCAGGAAGTAATATAACATTTTCTTCTGATGGACAACCTTCTCCAGGTATGATGTTAGATAAATGAAATCAAAATATGTACCCATGATGTTTTACTTGTGTTTTTAATGTATATTAGGTGTCAAGATTCTTGAAGAATTACTTAATTCACATCAACAACAAACTCATACCGATAATACAGCACGTCAATATATTGTTTTACAATCTGATGATCATCATATATTTCAACAATTATCATCTGTTCGTGATGAGCGTCTTACAACAAATAATGAACAACTTAATCAAATAGCTCAAGTTATTCAAAAAGCAATAGCAGCAACAACACCGACAAGTGCTGATATACAAAATCAATCACAAGTTCAAGAAACAATATTAACATATATCACAAATCGTATGAATCCACAACAACAGCAACAACCAGAACAAGATATATTAACACGTAATCGTTCCATATCATCATCCATGGATACATCAATGAATGGCAATGAATCATCGAATTCAACAGTATCATCAACAGCACCAAGTCCAATGACAGCACATATACCACATAATACAATTATGTTAAATAAAGTTAAAGATGAGCCTCAACATGTACCAACGTTAAGAACAAACAATACGAATTCATCAATCGAACGTATCAGTTTAGAACAAAATGAAGTACTAAAAAAAGAAAAAAAGCGTGAACGAAATCGACAGGTTATTCCTTGTTTTTTTTGTATTGCATTAAGACAAAAAAGCAAAAAAAAGAAAACAACTTTATAAATTTCTTTTTCAGGCAGCACAAAAGTGTCGTACACGAAAATTAACACGTATAGCTGAATTACAAAAACGTGTCAATGAATTACAAGAAAAAAATAAAGATTTATCGAATACAGCCGATCGTCTTAAAACGGATATAACGAGATTAGAACGACAATTACAGGAACATCAATTACAAGGATGTACATTAATGACAACTGGATCCGTTTTATCATAGATTTAATATTTGTCTATTTCGACTCTATAGACAACATATAGTCACAATATTTGTTTTTTCTTTTTCGTTTTTTTTTCTCTGTAACACACCTATTGTGTATTGGAAATTAACAAACAAACATATTCGAACAGTTCTTTTTCCTCTGATATTGGTTTAACGCGTTTGTTTTTCATTTCATGTAAATAAATGAATAGAATAAAGGAGAAAAAAACAGACAGACAAACATATAACATCAAAGAGAAAAATGTGCATTTTTGTAGATATGGCCAATATTGATGAACCAGTTTATTTGGCTTGTAGACGAGCACTTGTAGGTTTATTTTCAAATGGTTTTGTATTTGGGTATTATTATTTTTCATTTTATTTTATATTCAGGGACTTGATGGTTCGAGTGAAATTAGTGGTCTTTTATCAAACGTTCAAGATATTGAAACATTAACTGAAGACGTTATTAATGTTGTACGAACAAAAATGCGCGAACAAAATGCGATTAGAGTAATACAAATGAAAACAAAAAAAAACAACATAATTTAATATTTCTTCTCCTATTTTTTTCCCTAAAATATTTATTTTAGGATACAACAATATTTGTTCGTCCATTTGTGGAATTATTTATGGATTCAACAAATGCACCTCGAATGTTTACAATTAATAAATTATTAAAAAAAATGGTCGAATTTCAACCATCTTTAGCGAAGTAATACAAAGATAATTTCGGGCACTGAAGGCATGTTGTATTTTTTTGTATGTTTTGTTATGTAGACCATTTGCTGAAGGTCTTTTACAACATCCACGAATGAATTTTGCATTACCAGCATTAATATGGAATTCAGCAATGGATCTTCTTCAATTTCTTGTACGCTTTCCAGATTATAAAGTAAGAAAGGATTTAATAAATTTTATAAGACAAATTAATGAAGAATTACGGATGCCATATGAACATAGTTTAGATTTTATGATGATGGAAAAATATGACGAGAACATAATACACTAGATCTCATCGTTTATTTATATCTGTTTACAGAATTTATATTCGCATAATATCTTGCTATGAAAAAACCTGGCTTTTGTGGAACATGATCTGAACAGGAGCGTAACAATGATTTTTCCAAACGCGAGGAGGAGGTGCACATCAGCAAGAAAAGAATTTTTTGTTTTACGAAAACGCTTTTTTTTTACTCCTACCTCTTTTCGCAATTTTTTTGACTAGGAGATTACACAGGCACCACTTTCACTGGTTCTGGCTACGCTCCTGGTTTAAAAGGACTGACGAAGTATAGAAAAATTTGTCTCCTTGTGCAAACCGTGACGTTCGCATGCATGTCAATATCATCGGTGTGACAGGCGTAACCATAGCAGCATTACAAATCGTTGATAGACATTCTTGATACACGATCAAAGATGATATCTATAATGTTGCATTACTTGCTGATTATATTTTTGAGAGATTAATAGGAACGTTGGTGAAGAAATGTGTCCTAAAATACGTAATAAAGAAAAACAATCTCCTTTTGATATATTTTAGTCCCGTAGGAATTGTGATAACACCTGTTTTTGCTAATGTCGTAAAAGTTAGAGTTTATTTTGAATTCTTTTGTTTTTTGAAAAAACAAAAAAAAAAGGAAATTATGTAAAATCCATCAGAACAAAGTCGAATCAAACTTGTCTGTCTATTTGAAACAGATACAAATTGCGGAAAACAAATAGGCTACCTATGAAATTGTTAATAAAAATGACTGCAGGTTAGAAAGATAAAATATTGAAATATCTTTGTTATTGGAAAATTCGAAATGAGTTTTTGTTTTTTCAATAAGATAACCATGATTAATAAGAGATTGTGATTAAATTATTATTTTTTCTTTTTGTAAAGGGTATTCGTGATATTTTTAAACAATTATTAGAAAAGGTTCAAATGCTAATGTCACATACACCACTTCAAGATATTGAAAAAGTATTCAAATTTTATACGGTAAAAAATAAATGAACAAAAAGAAACATATATTGAAAATATTTTCATGTATCTTTAGCTTGTTGCTCTTATCATGAATCCTGATAATAATCTTCAATTAAGTTATTTTATTCAAAATGAAATAAAGCAAACATTGCCTTGGGGTAAACCAGAAAACCCGTATCCACCTGTAAATATTGAATAGAAAAATAAATTTAAAACAAGAAAAATAAATTATTTTTGGTTTTAGTGTTTCTCTAGTTTAATATTAAAATTTATTGATTCATTTCGTCCAACTGCTCAACTTGTATCTATAACTGGTTCGTTTGATATTTTCATATTTAGAGAAAAAACTAAAGTTTTCTTTTTCAAGGCCGCGATATGCTTTATCCAATCGTTGGATATTCAAATTATGCTTCTATATTATGGCGTTTACATTATGCTAAATTAAAATTTCATCAAACAGCTCCATTACCATTCGATAGAGTAAGTTTAATATTTGTTCTATTATATTTTTTAATTGTTTTTTTTTTTCGTTTTTAGGCTCAAGTTCAACCACAAACAGAGTTATTTTGTTATGTTATAAAACAACTTAATTCTCGTGACCTTGCATTTAGTTTAGTTGGTATTGCACGTAATGTAAGTAATAAAATAATATTCGTCGCTTTCTTTTCATGCTTTTATTCTCAAGGTAAAACAACGAATTACCGCAATTGAAGAATCATTAGCTGATTTATTAATATGGAATATATTTGAAACAAATAAAATTCAAGATTTTGAAGGTAGTTTTAATAAAACAAAAAAAACAATTTTCCTTTTAAGTACTTTTTTCATGTTCTTTTTGCTAAATAGGTCAATTACATTTATGGACTGTAACAGCACATATTGTATTAGTTTATGTACAAAATGTTTGTATAGCTTTAAGTGGTATTCTTAATACAATAAATATAAAGGTTAATCGATTTTTTACTTATTTTTGAATAAAAAAGAAATTTTTGACTATCTATTATTTAGATTGCATCGTTTCCTGGATCTATCTATGGTACTGGTAGAGATTGGCTTATGTGGTTAATTGGACAAATGCTTTGTCACGTTTTAAATAAAAATCATGTTAAAGTAGATTTATTATTGTTTTTGCAATGTATAAATTTTAAACTTATTTTTTTCAGTCTACTTGGTCAGATTATCTTGTTTTACTTGATCTTATTCGAACACTTTATTCTGATAGTCAACCAATACCTGAGCCAGATTATCGTGATTTTCAATCAGTTGTTTCAGTAGCAGCTGCATCAAATTGGTATTTTTTAACAACACGTGTTATACCAGTTATAGCTGCATCAACACAATCAAATTCATTACCACAATATCAAACACCAAATGCACTCTATCTTCATGTTGAGTACGTGCAAAAATAAAAATCTTCTATTATTATCATTATTATTATTATTATTTGTGTTTCTTTCTTTTTAGAGCTTTAAAATCATTGGAAGATCGTAAATTATCATCCATTGATGATTATCGATTTTACATTAGTTGGAGTATGTTAATTAATTATTAAAATATATTTATTTTCTAATGAATATAATTCATTTTTAGATATAGTTGGTAATGATACAAAATTAAATTCTCCTTATATGGATACTTTATTTAAAGTTTATATACTTAATACTTCACAATCAATTCCAGCAAGTCATATGAGTCATAATGTATTTGGACCATCGGAAGGTATACCATATCGATCATTAGATGCAATGAGTGCACATGTTAAATGTCTTATTGCAAGACAATATTATAGTGATATAATATCAAAAAATTTATTTAATCCAACACAATGGTCAATGGTATCACCCGGTGGTGTTGAATCATTTGCACGTTTATTAGCATATCCAGAAGTTGAACAAGATCGTTTAAAAGAATTACTAAATTTAACAGATACAATTATAAATAAAAATTGGTATTTAGGTGCACATTTATTAGCAGAATTATTTACATTTCGTCTTCATCGTATACCAACATCAATACGTGCACAATTATTACAACAATTTTCAGGTATATTAGCATCACCATTACATGCTGGTCATCCACAATTACATTGCGCGTAAGTTTTATAAACAACAAAAAAATTAATTTTTTCATTCTCAGGAAATACGCTCTTAAAATCTATTGGTAAAATTATGAGAAACGTTCGTGTGTTTCATCAAATGAACGTTTCATACAATTTGAGAAGTTTTTTTTTCTGATCTGCACCACATTCTCATAGTTAAAATTCAGATGTAAATCTTATAAAAATTTCCTAGAGTCAAAAATATTCTGCCATCGATAGTAGTAATTTAGAAATTTGAAAACATGTTGTACAATTTGACTGCTGAATAATTCGATTAATTTCTTTGACTTTTCTTTAGAATACAAAATCTTTTACTTAATCTTATACTTCAATTTAATTGTACTGATCTTTATAATCAAGTACCAAAATTAATTGATTCAAAAATGTTACAATCCGTATTTACAAAGGAATCTGAAGAAATCAATAAAGTTTTTATTTTATGTATTGCTCGATCGTTTATTGTTACTGGTTTGTTAATAGAGATTATAATAAAAATATAGAATGAATTTTGTTTTTCTTTTTGAAGGATCAGAATCAATGCCTGTTCCATGGTGTACAGAGTTTTTAACTCAGATTCTGCAAATAACACCACATGGATGGTCAGCATCAACATTAGAAACTATGCCAACATTTATGGCTGAATGGTATCGAGCTCATCCAATTAATGATATTTATAGAGATATACGAGCACGTGTTGATGATGATTATAAAAAATTAACAAGTAAAATTTATATTGATTACTTTTTCTGTTTTCATTAGTATCTTTACATTCTAGACTCAGCTTCATTGGCAAATGAACAGGAAATTGTAAAACATTTTAGTCAACCAACTAATACAACTTGTCTTTGGTAAGTTTGATCTTTAGTTAAAGCATTCAAGTTTTAGATTTGAGAGTTCTTTTGTTTAATTCAAGAATATTCTTTATTGTTTTACGCTAATCAAAGAAAAAATAGCGCAACTTCAGTGCTGTGAGGTACAAATCAAGTGCAAGTGAAGCATGCATGAAGTACTAGTGAAGGACGGACAGTATTGCAGTTTATTCATACTTGAGCGTATTTCACATGTGCTTGACTCGTAATTCAAAGCAATCAAGTCGCACATTTTTTCTCCTTGATACTCATTGATTCCTATTCGTTCGTCTAGTTTTGGACAGAAAAATTGCGTCGGTATATCTATTCGAAAATAGACATCCTAATCATAATGCAAAGCAAAATTTTCATTTTGCACATCAAACATATAACTGAAGGCATTCTTTTCAAATGGATCGAATCGTGCTAGAATATCTTATACAAAGGATTAATTGATTGACTTTCTTCAATGCATACCTGCTGGAGACTCTTAATAGCATGAAAAATATTCAATATTGATTCTTTGATTTGGGGTAAGAAGAGATGTGAAGGACTAGATTTAGTTTGGGTCACTGGGACTGCGAAGAAAAAAACTTACCTCAATCGGAACTAAAGATTATAGATGAATATGCGCCATAGTCTTAAGTGAACTCTCGTCTAGATCATATTAATCAGAACATAATTAAAGAGAGATAACACAAAAAAGTGCTACACGTCAAATAAATAAATCAAAAAACGCGTATTGAAGAATATTTTAGATGTGATTCGAATAAATTCTAGAATACTTTTCTCTAGATCAGAACTGGTCGAAAAAAGTTCTTGAGTCGAACTGGGACCAAAAGAACTTGGTTCCTCATATATCTAGTCTTGAAGCAGATTACAATACTCATCTATTTATTCTAATAAAGAGAAAAATAAATTAAAAGAATATTTTTTCGAAATATATAGCGAAACGTACTCTGAGTAAAGCTCATCTTATACAACTCTATTTGTTATTTCGAAAGTCTAGAAATAGTTTCAAATATATGATATATCTTATTATATTTTATTTATTTATTTTAGTGTATTTCTCAAATTGACTATTGAAGATCGTCCATTGCGATCATATATAAATACATTTTATGAGTAATTAGATATTTTTCTGAATATGAATATAATATTTCTTTGTATTTTTAAATGATTAGAATTTTTAAAAATCTTCTTACACGTTCAATGAATGGTCATTATCGTACATTAGCTGAATATATATTACGTGAAATAACATTACAACAAAATCATAGTCAAACCTTTATGCAAAAAGTAAAATAAAAACATTTATTGATTCTTAATCATCTTTGTTTTAATTCAGTATGCTGATGCGGTTGTTCTAATGGCAACTCGTTATAATATAATTCAACTTGATCGATTGCTACTTATTCTAGTAAGTAATCTATTTTAATAAAAAGATTTTTAAGAATATATATATATATATATGTATGTGTGTTTCTATATTAGTTTCTTCGACCATTGGAGGAATCAAAAACACCTTATGTTCATATTCTTTTCTATTTTATGATTAATTCTAATACATTATCTGAAATAATTAAAGACTTTGGTAATATTGCAAGAAGTGTATGTAAAAAATTTTGTTTTAAATGATTATTATATGTGTCTTTATTTCTAGATTTCCTGTGACATTTGGAGTATGAAAAATTTTCATGAAAAATTTCATTGTGAATATATTAAGGTTAGTTTTTATTGTTAACCTAATATATTATACAAAACTTTTTCATTGATAAGTCCATTTGAGAGTGAAGCTATGAAACAAAATTTTATTTTTTATTAACATCATCAAGATAGAATATGTTGATTTTAGTATATCCCATAAATGAAAATAATTTGAAAATTAAAAATAAGTAATTTGTAATTAATATTTAGGATAACTTAAGCATTGAAAATTTGTTTTTGTTTTTGGAAATAAAATTTTCATTGAAAATCATAATTTCGTAAAGTTTAGATTTTTTCGGATAGACTCACAAATATTATTTAAAGATCTTTTTTAATGGATACAAGAATCTCAATCGGATTACAATGAGTTGACCGATGTCGAGCTTTACACTAGAAAAAACAGATATTCTATGATTTTGTTCTTTTGGATTTGGAGAGAGCTCGCGTAGATTCGCCGAATTAGATGCTATATCTCAATAAGAACTTGTTTTGATTGACCAAAATATATCTTCGAACTCAAATCGGATTTCAAAAAATTGACCTGTATTGGACACTGATGAGTACGTCAAAAATCGCTAACTGTCTTCTATTTGAAAACGTTTTTATCATCCATATTAGTAATACACTCTTTTTTTTTTGTTACATTACGTTGCTTATCTATACGCATCAAAAACTAACGTTGAAAAAACTATCTTTTTTAATTCAGTGAATATTGATTATTAGGAGTGCCACATTAGAATTAACCTTTTCCAGCCCATAGCTCAACTAATGAACGAAGCTTCCTTGAAATTTTATATTTAATATGGGCCTTATACATTTTTGATATTTTCATTAAAACTTATAAAAAGATCTTTAAAGTAATTTTCGGTCCATATCCGTACTTCCCCACAGGGATGACGAAGAAGTATTTCAGGTCATCCCCGTGGGGGAGTACTGGTGTGAGTTAAAATTTGATTCAAAGCTGTCGTCAAATCAACCTTTGGAACATCATTCGGAGCCACTCCTACACTGATTTCAACACTAAAAGTCGAAGTATTCCGCGGACCGTAAAAGAGCATAATCCGCCCTCCTTCTTTTTAGAATAGTAATGGCGTTCCAAAGATTCATCGGGCTTACTACTAAAGTGACCTCATTAGGGTGAGAACTCTTGTATAGATGTATGCATTGAAGTCTCTTTTATGCCATCGAAAAAGCTGCACTTCGATATCACTTTGCGTTCGCGAGCTATTCAAAGATTAAGAAACTTGAAAAAACCGTACTATATTTAGTACGGTGGGCCTGAAAGAGTTAAGTTAACATTATTTTTAATTGTAATACATATATTCAAGGTAACTTCTCAGGTGCTACTTGAACATCCTATCTGTAGATTTTCTAGAGCTATCTAGGCATCATGTCTGTAGCTTTCAAGGAATTCCTCGTTGTCCTATCTATAACTATGTAGGATCTATCTCAATATCATATCTGTACGTTTTTAAGGCATTGAAGTGTACTAAACGCAAAAAGTGAGACAGTCTCTTAGTTTATCCTTATGTAGTTAGCTAGAGCTCGACTAGCTGCGTGAGAGCATGCTTTTCTTAGTTTTGTTGTGAAAGACTGTTCGTTAAAAAGAAATTAAACGTTGTAGATAATGTTGAATGGTACATTTTCTTGGAGCTACATTTCTCTATAAGAATTGAGTCTGTGACAATTAGTTTTGATACTCTTCAAGCATGTTATGATCGCAAAGAGTATTGTAACATTAAATGAACTGCAAGCAAAACTTTAACAAATCGATGAGTTCTTACGAAATGTGATCTCATTAATTCTATATCATGATATAGCTAACTTGTATATATTATTGGAAATACCGTATTGTATTTCGAAAGTATAGCTTTCTTTTTTAGAAATATTACTATTTTGGAGAAAAAAGGATCTCTTACCTGTGGTTGAAGTTTCTCCTATGCATGAAACTCTACTAGGAATACGAGATTTTTGACATAGAAAGTCTTCCAATTTCCTATAACAATATTAGAGTCCGAATTAATATAGGAAACTGAGTAAAATAGAATGGCTTCATCCTGTTTCTCGAGGTTTCAATTTTTGGACGACTTCTCATTACAGGCAAAAACTTGAAAATGTATTTTTGATCGACTCAATTTTGGGTGTAGGTGTGAATGTGATCGTCTCTTCATTCACATCCAGCTCCAAACATGGACCAAAAGTTTTGGTCCAAAACTCACGTCATATCAAAAATCGCTTTCGAACATTCTAGAAAGTTCCAGAATGATCTATGGATCATTAGTCCCGACACTCCTTTTCCCGCTACTAGACAAACATAGACAATTATTGTTAGACTTCTTTTCTCGACAGTTGCTAGCGAACCATATCGAAATAACGTTAACCTGTTCACTATAACTCGTTCGGTTCGAAAGTTTTTAGGAACCGACCCTACTTAACAGAAAAATTTCAGATCCAAACTTGACTCTGACTGATGGACTCTACTGCTCACCACAATTGTTATGGGAATGTACTCAGTCATCGTAGTCATCATCCTGTTAACACCATTGCTATTACCTAAGAGAGAGGGCTACAAAAAGTTTGATTTAAACTTCAATTCATTATTTGTTCGACAATACATGTGAGTTACACAAGCACTGCAAATATGATGTCCAGATAGTCGTGGAAAGATTACAGATACTATGTCTAAGTTATCATTGAAAAGGTACGGGTAACATGCTCAGGTAGCTTTTGAAAAGTTACCTGGAACAGATGTATTACAAATAAAAATAATTCTAAAGCATTAGGCTTATTGATTAATGTTAATGCATAGGCATTCGTATTATTTTAGTCCTAATACTAACACAACACCTGTATTGTCTATCCTTCGATTTGTTGCCAAATATCTGTAAAAGCTGCAAATATTTTTAAAAATCAAAATTGATCTCTTTAGTTCAAGTTTGTTAAGGCATAAAATTATTTTAAGTAAAGACACGTTATGTTCGAACATTGATTTCTTTTTGTTCTTCTTATAAAAACTTTCATGTATAGCTGAAAATAGGTGAAACCCAATGCATATTCAAAAGCATTAAATCTTAATACAAATCCCAGGATTTCATAGTGAATAGTACCATGAATGGATAATGAAATCTTCGGATTCCTATCTAATCTATAGCGCGAAAGTTTTGACATAAAATGTTCACGCCACTTAAAAATGACTGGTTATAATCAGAGTTTTTCACTTTTTCTGAATCTGTGTTCAGAATTTTCTTCTCGGTTAAGGTTGAGCAACAACTATCATTAGATTCTTTTAAAAATCCGAACAGATAGTGACAGTACACGACATACTATTTTAGTAATTTTTGTTTTTCGATTAAACTCTGTCAAATTCAAAATACGAAACAATTTTTATATAACTTGTACAAAGTCCGCTATGTGTTTTTTGTATTTTATCATGCACAGCAAGTTTTTATACTTTTGTGTTTTTGAAACAGTGATTTTTCGATCGTTTTTGAAACAGTGATTTTTCGATCAATGTCCATTTTTATAGAAACTTCTTCTTTACTGGACATATATAGATGAGATTTCTAGTATTGTAGTATCTCACTTTGTGCAAAATTCAGTAAAATTGAATTAAAGCTGTTTCAAGATACAAACTAAGAATTGCGTTTAGGAAACGGCGAGTCCCCCATCTATGGTCTCAGTCTCGGTAGAAATATTTTTCAACTTGAATTTTAGTTCTGCCGAGACCAAGACTATTTTGCCGTTCTCTACGTAAAGACCGTATGCATTACAAAAGATCAACAGTTCTTACGATTTTCAAGTATATACTTTCTCTTATTGTTTCCAAATTTTCAGTGTTTATTTTGTCGACACTCGTTGTATTGTACTATACTTGAAATAAAAATAACTCAATTGCTACTTGAGAATGAAAGAATCGATTTCTAAACACAAATTCTATTTTTTTTTATCGAAATAAAACTTTGTGAGACACGCTAAAAAAGAGTACTCAGTTCCAATTTTGGTCCCACCGGAATCGAGACTGGAACCAAGACTGTTTTGCAGTTTCCTAAATATGTCAAAACTGCAATATTTGCTTTGTACAGAAATAATTTTTGCCTATTTCACAAAATTGATCAATAGTTGTTCAATCTTACTTCAGAAGGAAAATCCGAAAATATATTCAAAAATAGTGAAAAATTTTGTTTCTAACTAATTGCTTGTAGCTCTAACAATTTGCCGTTTAGTGACCAAAAAATGAGTAAATATTTTATGTCAAAACTTTCGCATCATAGCTTAGCACTTAGCATCTGTCCGATTGGTTACGGACGCGCTCGGATCCGAAAAATATTGACCCAATAAGCTCTATTAATAATTCGATTTTAGTTAAAAACTTGAGGTTTTGTAAGAACAAAAAAGACATTCATTTTTACAGATAGCTTCTGTTCAATTGAAAAATCTTCAAGTTTTATTACTCTTATTAAATAAACTCAAAAAGAATTTGACATCTAAAAGATATCAAGTATATTGAAAGTATTGTCGCAGATACTCCAAATCAATTAATATTATGATTTTTTTATATCATATATATATTATTCAAATATATTTTCATTATATTTATCTTTAGAAAAATAATGAACGCTTCTTTATGGAAGGTCTTATAAAAGACTATTTACAACCAGTAAGTTTTCGAAAACATACAGATATTTATACAATAAAAATTCTTTTTTTGTTTTTTTTTTTCTTATTCTAGTCCGTTGATCGATATTTGCCAACTTATTACAGTAATATGTGTCTTCGTCTTTTACCTGTAAGTTACTTTCTTTGACTAATTCGTTTCGGTCCTAACCGTCGTTTATGTGGTAATGGAAATTGATAAAATCCAGCTATATATGAATTAGTACCATCTATAAATGCTAATGTTTTAATCGTATAGATTAATGAACATTTTCCTAATTGAGTTTTAGTATTTGTACAAGCGTTCATCAAATAAGGCATTAATAGATGTTGATATTCATTTAAAAAACGATTTGAAAAATATAATTTTTCATATTGATATGAATTTATGAATCGAAGCATAAAAGCAAAAAAAACCAAACGACTAAACATAAAACTTATGCGCGTTTTGTTTTGAATATTTAGATATTTGAATTAATAATTAATCGAATGTTTGAACATATGCCAAATGCTCGTATTGTTGATACAGTTTTACCAATAGCTCAAAATTTATTTCGTGCACATGGTTTGAATAAAAATGAAATAATTCTTAATATAGAAGAAACCATGTTTTTTTTTTATTCTAGCTGCTCCAGTCACATTTTTGTATCATACTTTATTTGTATATGAAAAAAAATTACGAGAAAAATCAAACTTTCGTCAATCACTTATTATTGGAACAATTGGTAAAAGAAAAAAGAAAATAGATAAAAAATTTTAATATAAATTTATTAAATTTAAGGAAATATTTATCATATGCGCAAAATGGAATGGTGTTTTTCAAATAATTTTACATCTTATTTAGAAAATTATCTTCGTCTTGATGGAGAAAAAAGACAATTACCGTCGCCTGTATTCAATTTACGTTATGCTATTGATTTATTGCATAAACTTGTTGATGATATCCTTTTTTCCAAATTTATTTTTTTTTCCGTTTTTTTGAAATATTATTTAGATTTAGTTTATTTTCCTTAACTCCAGTGCACCAATTTATGAGAAAAGTTCTTATGAATACAATATCGATTGGCGTTATAATGAATTTGCAAATCCATCGTTACAATTGATACATTGTTTAGCTATTGAAATATTCTTTTATACGGGACAAGAAAATTTTAATCCATGGAAATTATTTGCTGAACCATTTATAACTGCGTAAGTTGATTAAAAAAATAAGATTCCTAGTCAAAAGAAGTCTCACTAACTGATAAAAATGTACATAAACTTTATTCCTTTTGTTTGATATTTTGATTAGAAATAGAACTCTGTAAGTTCTGATTGCAAGAATGAATCTGAGATCAATCTGTCCTAGTAAAACACATTTCATTTCAGAGGAAAACATTATTTTATCTGGTAACATTCATTTTCTTATTAATTAATTAAACTCAGCATACCTGTATTATATTATAAATAGAGTATTTCAACCCGCTGTAATTCTGAGGTACAGCAAAATCTCTATTGTTTCGAGCGGTTTCAACATAGATATCCTCTCTATCGATAACTGTCACCGAAGAATGAACCCTTATGTCGATAGTACCCAAAGATGACTTCGTAAATCAGGCAAATTAAAATCATTTGACAAGAAATTTTTCTCCATGATAGGAACAGCATTGAGCTCCCAAATGACGAGGGGGTACGTCTGACAAAATTTATTTTCAATGCTAGAATATTCTCGTTTGAAAGAAAAACCGATGTTTATCTTTTGGCTGTCGATTCCGAATCAGTCTTTGCGATTAGAGTTTCAAGTACTCTATTTGTAAAAACAAAATATGCGACTGCCTGATTCAAGTTGGCGTCCTTTTTATCTTGTAGCAGGGACTTTTTATGCCCTAGTTTCTACAAATGTTTCTGTCTATCAGAAGAAATAGTTGAAATAGAAGAGTAGTATTTGTCATGTATAAAACATAATTATAGCGTAACAAAAAAAAGTTATATGTAAAAAATAATTTAAATTCATTGATTATTATTTTAGAGATGTTTTAATTCCTCGAACACATTTTTTGAAGTATCTTAATGCTATGGGTCTTCTTTTTTCGGCTTTACCTGTATGTATCCAACAATATATTATCTTTGATATGACAACAAAAAAGCAAACTTGATCTTTTTTTAGGAATATTATTGGTCTCAATTATTCGAACGAATGTATCAAATATTTGAACATCCACTTTTATTACGTTGTTCACCAACCGATATAATGGATTTACTTAATTTTCGTGAACGATTTTGTACACATACAGAAAATATGGTCTGCTGTTTTGTAGCTGTTGTTCATTCCATATGGCTTCATGGTAGTATAAGTCATTTACAACCATTCCTTCAGTAAGTTATTTTTATTTAAAAAACAACAAAAAAACTTTCATTATCATATTTTTCTTTTATTTAAAATCTTAGTTTGGTTCAAACACAACTTTTACAAACAATAAAAACTGAAAATCAATTATTATTAGCATTTCAATTAATTGGTCCTTTTCTTCAACGTATACAAACTGAATCAACAAAATTATTACTTGAAGTAAGGACTAGAACTTATTGGAGCCAAAATTTTCGGATATGATCGAACCATATTTTGATACTCTCAATGAAGTTTTCTAATCGGAAGCAAATATACGAGATAGTTTTTTATATTCGGTGACCAATGTAGGGTGCACATTTCTTAGACAACTAAAATTCATCGGGATCAACCTGACGGACTCTAATACGAACTAAAAGAAAATATCAAATCATTAAAAAACAAAAAAATTCATGAATTTTTTTTGTATTTTTTAGTTTGTTATTGTGCCCTATGATCTTATTGCACGTGTTGATAATCATCAACAATCATTTATAAATGTTGATACAATAGCCAATTTTCTTTATCATATTAAATATATTGTTGTTGGTGATGCAATACGTGATCGCATTGAAACAGTTGTTAATAATCTTCATTGTGAAAAACTTCGTTCACGTCTTCATTTTCTTTGCGCTAAAACAGACGTTTCATCATCAATACATTCTCAAGGATCTACAGCAGCTGCAACACCATCATCAACAACAACAACCGATACATCAAATGCAAACGTACCTAGTCATGGACAAATAAAATCAGCAACATCTACAATGCAAATGCAATATACAACAGCATCAATGCAAGCCCAACCATATGGTGTACCATCACAAAATATTCAACAAAATTTTCAATTAACAACTAATATGACTAATGCTATGGGATCGGATGGAACTCCACAACAACGATAGAAAAAAATCTTTTAAATAAAAATTAAAAATCATTTTTTATTCATACATATTGTATTTGAATAATTTCAAAACAATTATTTTTCTTAATATATAATCTGTTTTTTTGTTAGAAACAAAAACTACATGTATCATAAAATGATATTTAAAACATCAAAATTTTCATTATTTAATAAAGAATATGTATATGCATGCATATGTATAGAAGAAATTTGAATTTTTTAATTAAGAATTAATTGAAGATCTTATGCAAGAAACGAGTTCCATGTTTGTTATTTAAATAAATCATTCATGCAATAAAATCGGATATAAACTGTTTTAAGAATTTATAATGAAATCTTTGATATCAATATAAAATTTAAATATCTCGATCTAAAGAACCGATGTTATTTTTATCTTATCGAACTCAAATGACCCTCATATACATACCTATCAAGGTTTCGAATTATAAATAAATAAAAATTTTCCTCTCTCCTTGATAGATAATGTCAAATATTTATTAATAGTAAACTAATCATCAGATACAATCCATAATAACCTAAGATGGTATCACAGCCGCCATTCTCAGATGATTATCACTATGGATAAAAGCCTTAGCAATATTTTTCTACGTTATATTACTATATAATGATCATCTTATATTATAAGCTACCGAAAAAAAAATATTCATCATGTATCGTTTGTTTTATGGAAGCGAACAAATAACGATAATAATATACATGTAGTTAATATGATGCAAGGCTCAAGAATATTCGCAATATTTCTATTAGAAAAATTTAATAATAATAATTCAATATTTTTTTCTTAAACTAATTTACAATATATTCATAATCATAAATAGACATAATTTGCCTTAAGCTAATGAGAAATTGTTATTTTCTATTTTCAAATATTCAATTTTGTTTTCTTTTTCTTGTTTTTTTTTAATAGTCAATTTATTTTTCTTATTTTAGACTTAATCTTAAATTAGAACAAAAAGTAAAATAAAAAGACTTATTCACGAAATCGACCATCTTCAATCAAAATAAGAAATATACACTCTTGAGAATATACACATGCTGTATATTATCAGAAATAATCAATAATTGATCAATTCTTTTCTGTTATGATATATCCACCAACTGAAAAATGTCAAGAATCAATATTATCATATCCCATACAGCTGAATATCTTGAATATCAATATTTGACATTTTAGAGGTTATCAATATTTTTATTATATAGAACGGCGACAAAAAAATGCAAACTAGATATGCATAAGAAGGAACATAAGAAAAAGAAATTTTCTTATCAAAATGATGTATCTTTTTTTTTCTTTCTTTTTACTGTTATTTTTATTAAACAAAACTATTTTCTTTAGTTGACATTAAAATAGCTAAACATACTACAACAAGGCATCTAGAGAATGTGCAATGAGAATGACTTTGATGAGTATTTCCGCATGATACGATCTATTCATATCTTAATGCAGTTCTTGTCTCTTTTCCGTTGGGATTTTATAGTCGAGCTCTCATTCGTCGGAGAAAAACGAGTATCAATTAATTATATACCTTAGACCGACTATGTTCGTAACTAGAGCTAAGAGCATCAAGCCGGAAACGAAAGAGAGAGAAATATAGACAACACATACTAACATAAAACGATAGATGGAATTTAATACATCAAGATGTTTATGTGTGTGTCTAAGTGATGACAAACAGACGTCATTTTTTTTCTCTCGTTTTTCTTTTTCTCAGTTTTTCTCTCTCTTCTTAATAATTCACTCTTATACACCAGATCAAAAAGTCAAACGGTGATCTGACTTGTAAACATGACACGTTACAAACGACGTAAATAATTGACACGACAATAAATCTACTTAATAAACATAACAAAAATTTACTTGATACTCACGTACAAAAGATTAATTGATTAATTTATATATGAATAACGGTAATATGAATAGCGTTCCATTACCATCAGTACCATCTGGTGAACACGATTGTCTTATGACTGAAGTACAAATTCGATCAACTTCAACATCATCAAAAAAACATAAGCATCGAACAAATTGGCTTAAAGCTCACTTATGTCAAAACAAATTCACATTTGGATTATGTCTTTCACTTTTACTTGCTATTGCCATTGTTATTTCTTTACTGTTTTTATATGTTTTACATAGACGCATACGATCAGAACGTATGTAAAGACAAAATATTTTCAATTATATCATTAAAATATCTTCTCTTTTTTTATTTTAAGGGGAATTATGTCTCACACCTGAATGTATCTCATTAGCAGCAGATACATATAATGCAATGGACATTACAGTTGATCCATGTGAAGTATGCATAAGTTTTCAAAAAACCAAAACGTTTGATTATATTATTGTAAATATAGGATTTCTATCAATTTGCTTGTGGTAATTGGGATAAAACTCATCCAATTCCTGAAGGTCGTAATGTTCGTTCTTCATTTGAATCATTTGTCAATGATGTTGTTGACCTTTATCGCGGTATTTAATACAATGAATTCTGATTGTTTTATTTTTTGAGTTATAATAATTTGTTTTTATTCTTATAGAATTACTTCGGAAACCTATCCTTGATACTGAACCAGATGCTGTAAGAAAACTTAAAACATTTTATCAAGCATGTGTTAGTCCAGGTAAATATTTCTTTCATTGAAAAATTCTACTATTTAATTGTTCTTTTGTTTTATTATTTATTTCTAAAGAACGAGATTCACTAGCAATTGAAAACACAACATATCATTTACTTATTCAACATTTAGAACGTTTTGGTGGATTTCCTCCATCACATGGTGAACGATGGCAACCAAAATTATCTATTGAACGATTACTTGCACAACTTCATTTAGAATTTAATACTGAACCTTTATTTGAACTTAAAGTAGCAGCTGATGATATGAATAATACTCAACATATTATTTTGGTAATTAGAAAAAAAACTTAAACAAATTTTTGAAAATGATTAAAAACAAAATCATTTGTTTTTCTTTTTAAGCTTAATCACCCATCATTATTTTTACAAGCTTCAGCAGCATATGAATCAGAGGAAGAAATCGATGCTTATTTAAAATTTATGGTTAGTGTAGCAACTAGTTTGGGTGTTGAACGTATACAAGCTCAATATGAAATGCAACGAATACTCAATTTTGAGAAAGCACTCGCCAACGTAGGTGAGAGTTTTTATTTTCTGTTCATCGTATTCGCATGAGACTCACAATTATCTTTCATTAAACCTAAAATATACATTTATTTTGTATAACTCTGTCCGGATGGGACTCTTTTTGTGCGAAGCAAAATAATAAAACACAGAATTAGTTAGAATGAATTAATTTTCATTTCTAATAAGTGATATTGGCCTTTCAAAGACTAATATGGTGCATATTTATATTGTTCATATTAAATTATAGAGCAATGCTGGGAAGAAGAGAGAAGAATACTCTTACCTTTGAGCTACCTACATGTATGAATAGTTGTATCTCTGGACAGAAGATTGACGTGACACATAGTTCTTGGGCTCAATTGTTTGAGAGCTCCCCATACGCATTTATTAACAAAATACTAGCCAGAAGAGTCGATGCATGTTACAATCTAGTTAGAATTCTGTCGGACGAATGATCCGAGACAAACAGTCTTTAATGACTTGTACAAGGTCGTTCTATGGCTGATGATATTGAGATTTGCAGACGGTGCCTTATGGATATGTGACAAATAATGTGGTCACTCAGCCATAATGGCTTGAGCCATACCAGTTAGATCAATGATAAGCAGTACGCATGAATAGATCTGATTGTTTCAGGATGGAAAAATGCCTGTATGTGTCTTCCCATCCCAAAAGAGTTATTAGTTAAATCTATCATATACAAATTGTGAAGTGAAATGTAAATGCAAAGAACAAAAGAAAAACATTGAAAAATCAATTGATTTATGATCATAGACATTCATAAATTAGCGTTCACTTATTCATTGATTGAAACATTTGGAAAAGACTTATTGAAAATTTTCTCAAGCTATTTTCAATTTTAGATTCGTGATGATCAACCATCAAATACTGTGATGGATTTTTATAAAAAGATAAGTGTCGGAGAATTACAAAACATGGTACCAGCGATCAATTGGACAATATATTTTCATCTTGTTTTTAATGAATTCATTCCAATAGATGAACCAGTTGTTGTACTTTATGCTGATCAATATATAGAAGATCTTGAACGACTTATTCGTCAATTTGATACACGGTAATGAAAAAACCATATTTTAGTTTTCTTTTCTGTAAAAAAGAATGTCTTTTTTTTTTGTTATACGAATAGTACTATAACAAGTTATTGTTTGTGGCGTGTTATCGCTAGTCTTGTACCTGATTTGAGTAAGAGTTTCCGTGAAGCTCATTATGAACTTGTACGTCTTACTCAGGTAAAGCCTTGATATATATGAATATTTTTTGATTGTATAACTTTAAAAATAAAAAATATTACAGGGAGCCGCTCCTCATGGTATCGGTTCACATTGTTTATTAAATCGAGCTGATGAAGCATTTGCTCAACCAATGACCTATCTCTATTTAAAATCTCAATCGGATGATAATATTCGGGAAGAAGTATAAGACGTTTTTTCTTCTTGTTTTCTAGAATATTTTTATGTTTTATTATAATTTTTTTTCTATAATAGTTACAAGAACTTATACAAAATATTCGAAGTACATTTTATGAAACAATCAAACGTAATAGTTGGATGACAAATGACACAAAAAAAGTAGCACTTGCTAAAGTATGTCAAGAGAAAAAGAATGTATTATGTCTTTTGGAAAATATTCTTTTGTTTTTTTATTTATAGGCACAATTAATGAGTGAATTTATAGCTTATCCACTTGATACACTTAATAAAACTTATTTAAATTTAAGTCATGCTCATGTAAGTCTTTATGAGAGAAAAAGAAAAAATTTTGACTCTTTTTTTTTTGTTTTCATGTTCTTTAGTTAAATATTTCATCTGATAAT